TCCTTCTGTGCTAAACAAAAACGCTCCAGCTGCTCTGTTAGGAAGGCATTCAGTTTTGCCAAAACACAGTCCTTCTGGGCAAAGATGTAAGTAGTGATATCTTCCACATACTTGCAGATCTTCTCCTTGACACGTTCGCTCTCTACTTTTAGTTTGTCCATTGCCTCCTCCACAGCTTTCTCTTGTTCAGAGATGCAGGTAATTGTTCCCTGCAAGCTCTTGATCAACTGCTCTACAGAAGGGCGTTTCTGCTGGACTGCACTGGACATGGATACCACTTTGTGCTGGAAATGGTCCAGCATGCGACAATCCCTGCAGATGGACATGCTGCAGGTATCACAGAAGAAACGGAGCGCCTCCTGTGGGTGATCTTGGCACCACAGTTCCTGTAAAAATCTTACCTCAGTGTCATAATGCCCTGCAAGGAACTCTTCCAGGTTCACCACCTTATGGTGCAGAGTGAGGCGGGAGCAGCAGTGGCCCTGGGAACATATTTGGCACAAGAAATCCTTGCAATCCAGGCAACGGGCAGTGGCAGCCACAACTTTCTGAGCACTAGAGCAGACTGTGCACTCTAGGTCCTTGTTGCGCTTCATCTGGAACAGTTCCAAGAGGCTATTAATGAAGAAATTGGTCTTCAGCCCCACAGAACCTCCAGGAGCTTCCGACTGCAGACGGCACTCAGGACAATGTATGGTCCCATTTTCTACCAAGGGCTCTAGGCATTTTTGGCAGTAGGTATGCAGGCATGGCAAGATTTTGGGCACCACATACAGGTCATAGCAGATTTTGCAAGTCAAAAAATCTTCCCGAATCAAATCCTGCAGTGACGTGGAACTCTGAGTTGCCATGATCTTGTCTGGTCGGTCTACAAACAGAACAAGAGACAATCAGCATGGCCCAACTGGGTCTTGCACCAGCTATGAAGCGGAGGTAGGTGGGTTTAGAAGTTGTGTCAATAAACCTAGCAAGCTCTTTGCCTACTAATTCCAAGAGAGCCACACCAGACCTATTGAAAGGGTGGTGGAAATGTAACTTAAGACTACAACCCTATGCACTCAGCTAGAAAATAAGTCCTGCTGGATGAAGCTTACTTCTGAACAGATATAGATAGGACTGCAGTCAGTAATATAAATAAGGATTTGTGATTAGGGAGCCAGGAACTGCCCCCAAAGGAACTGGAAATAAAATTACCGCCTTCAGTGCTGTAGCACAAGGGAACTGGAGAAGGGATTGGAGAGAATAACACTTAGTCAAACATAAGCAAGCAGAGATGGGCTACTGGTATATTACACATTTTGTGCACCAGTGTAGAACTTCAGTCTAGGAAAAAGCATGAAAGCCATGCATAGATTACAACAATGGAACCAGAAAAAAATATGGGTGGGGGGGTGCAGGGAGAGAACTTTGCCCCATGTTAGACCTCTGAAAGGGAAATAATGGGGAAGAGCCCTAGTTCAGTGGCTGGGCAGCTGCTGTCATGGACTTCAAAGACGCTGGAACTCAGGATGAAAAGGAGAAACGAGCTAAGAGGAAGACAAGTTTTGCAAACCCTCACCATGCTCAATTCCCACCCAGAAACCGATGTCCCCACTGTGGATGTGTGAATCCAGGATTGGCCTCCACAGTCACTTACGGACTCACTGTTAAGACCATGTTCATGGAAGACAATCTTACTCGGCTATGAGTTATCACCAAATAATAAGAGGAGCTCTTTATACAGAATGTCTCAAGTTCAAACCCAGTCCTATCCAGGTAGGGCTGGAGTGGGGAGGGGATTGCTACCAGTCAGTGCAGAAGATCTTGTGATAGATGGAACAATGGTCTGACATTAATGCTCCGAACCTAAGGAACATTCTCTGAAATATGTGATATGGATTATGATGGGAGTTAAATTTCAAGCAATCATACTTAGGATTGCAGGCTTAATTTCCAGCTTGTGTTTTCGGTCTAATTTCCAAGTGCTGGCATAAGTGTGTGTGGAGTTCTTTTCGTAGAGAATAACGAAAAACCTATTTAACTTGCCCTACAGAAATGTGCCAGGGAATTGGCTCAGCAAGCGAGCCGGTCGAGATCGGGGAAATTGCAAAGCACCAGCGCGAGGAGGAGACGCTTCGCCAAGCTCGAGAGCTGGAGGACGGAGCACCGGGCAGTTAGCGGGAAACCGCCTGCTTGTGGCCCGATCCTTTTCCTTCTATCCCTTTCGGGTTCTTTTGCGGGCGCCTCTCTCCCATTCCTCAGCCTCTCCCACCCCACCCCGCCCCACCCAAGGCAGTCACTCACTTGCAAGCGCTTCACGCTCAAACGCCCAGAACATTGTCAGGCACCTTCCTCTAAGCGGGCAGTCCCTCGACCGGGCGCGAGAGATTTCCGCCTCGCGGCGTCATTTCCGGAAGGCGCTCTGCCTCGCTCATCTTGGTAGCAGAGCCGCCTCCTCTCCGGTTTCCTGTTTGAGTTAAGAGGCTCCATTTTGCACTGTTGAATCAGTGCGACTGGCTGCGAGCAGTCACGCCTCCCGGGCGCGTGGAGGGGGAGTTCCCTCTGCTAGTGTCCCGGCATTTTAAAGACTAGCAAATTTATTTCGGCAAAGTTCGGTAACAAGTAGAAACATAGGAAGCTGCCGTGTACAAAACCAGACCTTTGGTCCACCTAATTCAGTGCCTATTTTGGGGTTTTTTCATTGGCGGCTCGTGGTTCTTCAAAGTTTTAGGAGCAGTTTCACCCAGCCCTACTCGGGATTCAGCTGATACCTTTTGAATGCAAAACCTGTACTCTGCCAGTGAACTGTTACTCCTCTCCCCCTTATGGCAGGAAGTTAAAAAAATGAAGTGTCATTATCAGAAAAATGGGGTGGGCGTATGCTGACCATACATCTGGCTTTACAGTCTTTTGAAAGACTTTTGTGTGTTTCAGTCCAAGCCTTTTAAATATAAAGAATATAAGAAGGGAGAACAGGGAAGTTAGCAGTTGCCCATAAGTAGTAAACACAAGCTTGGCAAGCTTGATCACGTGATCAGACTTTATGCCACATTGGTGAGATATATTTTATTTTCATTTATAGTAGCAATTTCTTCATGTGTGCCTCTTAGTATACATTAGTATATACAAATCTGTGTCCCTTTTTTCAGAGCCTACTATCATTAGGTTGAGTTAGGGTGCTACACCAGTCAGCAGTTTCCAGGGAGTAGTGGCACCAAGCTGTTAAGAGAATAGCTGTGTGTGTCATGCGGCCATCTGATGACCTGTGCCCTCTAAGCTAGCCTGCTGCCCTCAGGTGTGGTGGAGGATGCTGTCCCATCACCAGTGCTGGAGTAAAGATGTCTATTGAGCATTCATCCTGGTTTGTTTGCAAGGAGGTAAGATGATGTTATTTCAAAGCATTACTCTACACCTTCCAGTGCATTTTCCCATCACTTTCCGTACCACAAAAAGTCCACTCTTTGGGGGAAGTATGATTATTGTGCAAGAGCTTCTAATCAACTATAATTGTGCAACCTGAATTTCCCATTAGGTGATTTAATCCCACCTGAAAATAACAACGGGGAACCACTGTCTTGTCTTTTGCTTCAGGCAACAAAGTGTCTTGATTGATCCTACCTCTTTGGATTTTTGGTAATGCGTTTGCTCCAGTCAAACTAGATGGAATTGGGTTACTTTGACTCAAGTTTTTTTTTAAAAAAGCTTCACATGTATTTTTATAGATATCCTGCAGCAAAAGGAAGCCTCTAACCCAGCCCACTTTATTTAGATGTTGTCAGGGGCTCAGGAGCAGAGGCACAGGGGAGAGAGGAAATGGAGAGCGAAGGCGAAGAATCTGAGGGCAGCGTAGGGGAGTATGAAAGTGGCCCGAGAGATTCCATGAGTCTCTCCAGCGAATCAGAAGATTCCCAGAGGGGGGCGCCGATGGCCAGGGTAAGGGGGGTCCCAGGGGGGACACACCAGAAGCAAGGGGCCAGCGGGGACTCCCAAAGCAGCAGCGGGAGAGCAGGACCAGCTCCTCCACCAGAGCGTAGTGAGGGGGAAGAGTCACATGTATCAGGGCCAGCTTCTCCTCCAGCAGGGAGAGAAGATGAGTCAGGAGTGGCCACGCCCCCATCGCAGAGTGAGGGAACAGAGGGAGAGTCAGGTGCAGCTAGCCTCCCCGAAGGGGGAAGCAGTGACAGGAGCAGTGTAACGGTCAGGAGGAAGGTGGCCGGCTGGGCGCGCGCGCCAAGTTCGAATGTACAGGCACGCGGCACAGCAGGAAACCAGGATTGGGAACCAGGTCCTAAAGCACGCCGGAGGGAGGGGGAGGACTCAGGAGACTCAGCGTCAGAAGAGTCTAGGAGAGGCGAGACCCCAGCGGACAGGCGGGCCCAGAGGAGAAGAGAGCAAAGGAAGAGGTGGAGCAAGGCTAGAGTCTTAAACTGGTGTCTGGGGGGAGGAGACTCAGACGGAGATTCGGCGGTCTAGAGTTTGAGACGTAGAGCTGCGCGCCGTGGGTGTGAAAGAGAAACTGAACTTCGATAAAGACTTTTGTATATAACAACGAAGTGGCGTTGGTCCTTTGTGAGCTGGGACCTAGGGCAGCTCTGACAGATGTTTAAATTAAGTTTTGCATAGTTCCACTGCGCTTGTCTGCACATGGACAATTTCTTGCTGGAGAATCATGATGTCCGTCACTTCAGATTTCTGCTTCCTTGATGGAAGTAGACATTTACAGGGAATGGAAGTAGCTGCAGCTCATGACTTCTTTGGGTGAAGCCTGTGTATTTTGCTATAGATTTCTTCTGCAGGCCTTGTTTTGTTTATACCCCCGTTTTTGTATTGAACACAAGCTGGTTGCTTCCAGCACCTCTTCATCTTCTGATGTGATGCTGCAAAACTGAACCATAACTCTACAGTGAGGGACAGAAATCTGAGCAAACAGGGAGAAAACAGCTAAAAATGAGGAGTGTCATTTATTGCTATGAATAATTCTGGCAATACTGCATGACTAGCTGAAATATCTGATTAAGACATAATGTGGAGTCTTGGTATTTGCACAGAATCCCCTTGCTGTAGAGAAGTAAAGAGAAGGTGCAGCTCAGTGTTTTGTTTGACTAAAGGGAAAACACTGTGTACAATCTTATAAACCTTGAGAATAAACACCCAAATGATCCCATTTTCAGGGTTAAATTCACAATATTATCATTTGTTTAAATACACTGGAGTGTATTTAATTATGAAACAGCCACACCACTGCACAGATTCTGGTGGAGATAATTTCCATTCAAGTCTCCCCTGTATTTCATCCTAGAAATACTTTCATATCACTTAAATGAACAATTTCTTATTGATACAGTTACTGTAATAAAGGTGATGTTCACATACTGGGAAGCATTGCCTTCTCTGATCCCAAAGCCTTATTCAGTTCACCCAAAACAACACTGGATTGACATTGCCATATCAGGAAGTAATTAAAACAGCAAATGGGGCAAGATTTTTTGTTTTGCACTAACATAGGATTTGGAGCTTATGAGGCTATACCTGATTCTGCAACACGTGCCATTGTTTCCTTTGCTTGATCCTGCTACAAAGCCCTCCCATAGGAGGAGGGAGAAACTTGTGGCTGCAATGGAAGCAACCTTGCCATCATCCCCAGAAAAGGATAGCAGACATGAGAAACGGGAGACTCCCCAGTAGTGAAATCATTGTGCTTTCAGTACTGGCAAAAAGCTATATTGACAAGCACAGCTTCAGGGAAGAGGTGTACATGCCCAGACAATCTGAAGGGCCTATGATGCACTGCCATCTGAACATCTTCCATCAAACAGGAGAGTTTCTAAAGCTGAACACTTGATGAAACTACCAGTGGTCAACTGGTAGTTGAAGAAAACTACAATCAGAAGGAAGAATAATGAGAAAATAGTAAGAGGAAGGATTGCTGCTACATTTCTAAAGTCACTGTAATGGGCAGTTCTCAATTCAATTATACCAGGCACAGAGTGAATGGCTTACCTGGAAGCATAAATATCATTTGATACACAGATAAAAGAGATTGTATAAGGGAATTATATACACTGGTTGTACAATGTGCAGCCCAGGGTATGGAACAAACCTAGATAGCAAAACACACCTTTGCCTCAGTCCAAGCAGTGTTGCTGGTGTGAGTGATGCCAGTGGCGGCAGAAAGTGAGGTGCTGCAATGCTCCTTGTAATTCTGCTTCTGTTTTGAACTAATTCCTACAAAGTTTGCAAGAGCTGCATCCTAGAGCCACTTGCCTGCAGCACTGTACGTGGGCTTCTCACTTATCACAGGCAACACTCAAAAAATGTTGGCCACAAACAAGATGTGAATGAACCAAGTGTCCCCCCTAGCACATTCCTGTATTATCCTTAGAATAACTTCTTTGTTTAGGCACATCTCTCTCCCACATGTTGGCAACATATCTTCCAAAAATCTCACAGCAAGGCTCTTATCACAATTACCACTCCATCTTGAAATACGTTGGAACCACTACAAAATTAAGAAACTTGACACTGGTTTTAGAGAGAGGCCATGCATAAACATTGTACTGATGTGTGCTAGTCTGGACTTTTTACTTTTTAGTCTGGCTTCTTTCTGTGGATCAGTGCAGCTCTTCCTCTTCACTAGCTTGGGTACAATAGGAGTTGTCCAACAATATCTAGAGGGCATCAGTTTGGGGAAAGCTGTTCTTCACCATTCTCCCCACCTCTACTACATGCAGCTTTTCCTCATGTACCTTGAATATTTATCTGATCAAGTGTGTGCTAGGACTTTAAAGAACAACACCACATAATTTGGGGTTTTTTACACTTAAAAACTGCTTCCACAGTGGGCTGGGTTCATTAAAATTCTGCCTGTCTTTCAATAGCCTAAACCTGCAGTCTAGTACACAATAATGTGGGAGGTAATCCATGGATAACCTCAAATTACACAAATGAAATGTATTGAGAAGCTACTGCAGCTCAGTGTACAGAAAATGGGAAAATATAGTTGTTAGCAAGAAGCTAAGGGTTGTAGATCAGATATTGGTCTGAAGCCAAAGAGCAGGTAGGAGAATCTGTAACAAGTATGAGATAACTGGAAGCTCCTAGAAAATGGGGTGATAAGGTATTGGAGAATATGAAAAATTGGTGCTTGGTTCCTAATATCCTCTCAAAGTTTGAAATGGGGTTCCAATTCATTCTCTTTCTCCTCTGCCACCTCCTCCTCCTCTTCTTCTTCCTGCAAGCCTTGATTGGGTTCAATGTAGTTATCTTCAATGAAACCATCATCATCCTCTGCAGGACACCCAGCTACTCTAGGGATGCCTTGGTTCCTCCCATAGGCCACATCCATGTCAGCTTCCTCAGCATGGCTGCTTCCAATGGAGCGGGAATCAGGCAGCCGTTGATGGTTGTAGCTGGCACGGTTCCTCTGCAACAATTTGCATTTAGCAACCAACGCAATCACAATGGAGATGGCGATAGCCGAAAGCACAAATGCAGCGAAGTATGGCCAGCTATGAGCAACTTTTCCAGGGGGAAGTGTGGTAGTAGAGGCTGCAAAGGAAAGGAAAGCTGGTGTATAGTTAAAATACTCACTACCCATGTTCTCATTCAGGAAATATATTTGACTACAAACCTATGTAAAAACTTACTCAGGAATAAATCCCACTGAAGTGAGTAAGCATGCATTGAATTGCATGGCACACCTCTGTCTTTTTTCTTAATAGGTGTGAACAGGGGAAACCATATTCCTATGTCCTTTTGATGAAAATAGTACAGCGACAGAGGTCATTGGAGATATGAGCCACTCTCCCTGGCAAGTGGCACCCATTCCTGGACTAAGCATATCAAGCTGAAATTGGAAGTTATTGATGTCAACACAGAGTAGTATAGCAAGCATTTCATTCACTGAGTCAGGGACTACAGTGGAGCCTGTCACTGACCTTCCATGCCTGATCCTTCCCTTCTACAAGGTTATCTAATATTGGCTTAATACAATAGTGGCATAAAACAGCACAATGTGACTGGAAGAAAGTTTGCTGAGAGTAATCTGCAGATCCAGCCCCAGCTAACTAATCTAGAGCAAAACAAAACCTAAAATTCTACCTTGTTCATTTGTGGATCAAGGCATTCATAGAGATTTGGCTCTTTTAGGGTTGGGTTGATTTGAGGTTTTTTGCCTGCCTTGGGATCATCATTGTAAGCTTCTCATAACTGTGTGGAAGCTGGTAGCTAGAATCAGCTAATTATCTCATTTGTAAATGACTGTTGCAAGCACCACCACCATCAGGAAGGATTTCCTGCTTTCATATAGCACTGTTGTGAGCAACAATTCTGGTAAACAGGAAGCCCAGAAAGAAGCATGTCATTAAAAACATTTCTCATCACCAGGGTTTAGAGTTACCCTTTATGGTTTTAATCAGAATGGGATACCTCTGTCAACCCTGCCAAATCATCTCAGTATGCCTGGATCAGCAAAAAACGAGCAGGAATCGGCCTCCCTAACACATGCTGTTTGCACTGGTGACTGCAACTCTAATTCATTCTCACAGAAAGCTCTCCTAGGGGAACACCAGCAAATGATGGTTCTGGGATTCGGTGGAGAAAAAATGTCAAATGCAAAAATTATAAAATGGGTGTTATAGCTCATCAGAAGGACCCCCAGTTTATTGAGCATTTGTCGTGATTTGTTTGCCCCATGGTTGCTGAGAGGTTAGATGACATTGGCTAATTCTTGAACACTCATAGTTTTGTTTGCAAGGAGGTTATATGTCGTTAGGTCAAGCAAGTGTTATGCCAGGCTTCCTCAACCTTGGCCCTCCAGGTGTTTTGAGACTACAATTCCCATCATCCCTGACCACTGGTCCTGCTAGCTAGGGATCATGGGAGTTGTAGGCCCAAAACATCTGGAGGGCTGAGGTTGAGGAAGCCTGTGTTATGCCATGCTTTCCTGTGCATTTTCCCATCACTTTCCTAGCCACAAAAGTCCAGTATTCGGGGGAAGCACATTTGTTGTTCAAGACCTCCCAACCTACATTTATTAGTTATTGCCTACCCTTCACCCTAAGGTTCCAGGGTGGGTTACATCAATTAAAACCTGAATCTGCTGGTATGTTATTCAATCCCACCTGAAAATGGTGACACTCTGGAAGTGGCCTGTCTTGCTTCACTTACTGTAATTTTTAGATGTCAGGTTACCGGTAGTTGAATGTTCATCTGGAGGGGCCCCTCGCTTTTCTTCTGTGTCCCTGGTCCTGATAGTCCAGAGTTCTAATCTCTTTAGTCTGGAGCTCTAGGCGTGAATCATGGATCAGCTCAGCTAGAGGACACAAAAGCTGTTAATGTCCATTCAGACTGAGAAATTACAGTTTATTTTCCATCCTAGGTTCATTCCATTGAGATAATACAAATCTTAAGTGGTTTTATGAGAGGCAAAACCTTTTGCCCACCTCCCAGGTTTGAGACTGCCTAAATCGACTTGGTTTCCTGGTATTATTCCTCAGTCTTCATTTTGTCAGCTATGAAGCCTCTATTCCCTCAATATAAGCAGAAATACTGCAGTTGTGCAGAGAGCTTGTCATGAACACATCTTATTGGGTGTAGTCAGTGACACACTGAAAACCTGCCTCTTTTTTTTACAGAAGTATTTAATCTTATTATTGAGGTTGAATCCTGACAAGACAGAAGTACTGTTTTGGGGGGACAGGGTGGGCGGGTGTGGAGGATTCCCTGGTCCTGAATGGGGTAACTGTACCCCTGAAGGACCAGGTGTGCAGCCTGGGAGTCATTTTGGACTCACAGCTGTCCATGGAGGCGCAGGTTAATTCTGTGTCTAGGGCGGCTGCCTACCAGCTCCACCTGCACCTGGTATGTAGGCTGAGACCCTACCTGCCTGGGGACTGTCTCGCCAGAGTGGTGCATGCTCTAGTTATCTCCCGCTTGGACTACTGCAATGCACTCTACGTGGGGCTACCTTTGAAGGTGACCCAGAAACTGCAATTAATCCAGAATGCGGCAGCTAGACTGGTGTCTGGGAGTGGCCGCCGGGACCACATAACACCGGTCCTGAGAGATCTGCATTGGCTCCCAGTACGTTTCCGAGTACAGTTCAAAGTGTTGGTGCTGACCTTTAAAGCCCTAAATGGCCTCGGTCCTGTATACCTGAAGGAGCGTCTCCACCCCCATCATTCAGGCCGGACACTGAGATCCAGCGCGAGGGCCTTCTGGCAGTTCCCTCACTGCAAGAAGAGGTTACAGGGAACCAGGCAGAGGGCCTTCTCGGTAGTGTGCGCCCGCCCTGTGGAACGCCCTCCCCAGATGTCAAAGAGAAAAATAACTACTAACTTTTAGAAGACATCTAAAGGCAGCCCTGTTTAGGGACACTTTTAATGTTTAAGAGATTATTGTTTTTAGTGTTTTTTGGAAGCCGCCCAGAGTGGCTGGGGAAACCAGCCAGATGGGCGGGATATAAATAATAAATTATTATTATTATTATTATTATTATTATTATTATTATTATTAACAGGAAGGAAACAACAGAGCATTGTCTAGCAGATCATATTTCTACTGTCTCAGAGGAGGACATTTCCCTTTTTCTTTTAGGGTCCACTGTGCTTTGAAGATGTCGCTGTTCGTTTCACGGACGAGGAGTCAGCGTTGCTGGATCCTGACCAGAGAGCTCTGCATAAGGACGTCATGGAGGAGAATTGTGGGATATTGGCCTCTCTTGGTAAGGCTCCCTGTGGGATCATCCTATCTGCCTGGAAATTCAAAAAATACGTCTATGGACCAACCTCATATATTTTCACAGAGTTCAACAGCGCCCCCTATAACACCTGGGAACCTAACACCACCACAATAAACAGTAATTTACAGTTTTTTCTTTAAACAATCTTCTTCAAAATATTCCTTTTCTACCACGATTGGGCTGGTGTGAACTTCCCAGGCCATCTTCAGTGTCAGCTTCAACCTTCCACAATTTTGACCACTACTATATATCAGACAAAACAACATTCAACAACTCTTCAGAATCTAATAATAAATATGTTGGTAAAATGACAAACAACACAGGTAATGAACACACACCCAACTCGTTTCATTTCTTCTCCATTTGTTCCTGAGGCTCTAATCCATTTTTGTCTCCATTGCAGATTCTGATGAATTGGAAATAGAGAGCAAAGGTGACCACGATAAAATCCCCAGGGAGGAGAAGCCACGTAAAAATTTGAAGTGTGGAGAAAGCTGCAGGCAGAGCTCCCATTCCACTTCCCATCAACAAAATCTCATTGGAAAGAAACTATCAGTGCTTGGAATGTGGAAAGAGCTTTAGGAACAGTGCCCATCTCACTTCCCATCAAAGAATTCATACAGGGGAGAACCTATACAGTCGTGGAATGTGGAAAGAGCTTCAACAGATAGTTCCCTCCTCATTTCCCATCAAAGAATTCATACAGGGGAGAAACCCTATCAGTGTGTGGAATGTGGAAAGAGCTTCAGTCAGAGCTCCCCATCTCACTTCCCATCAAAGAATTCATACAGGGGAGAAACCCTATCAGTGGTGTGAATGTGGAAAGAGCTTCAGTCAGAGCTCTCTCTCACTTTCATCAAAGAATCATACAGGGGAGAGACCCTATATCAAGTGCGTGGAATGTGGAAAGAGCTTCAGTCAGAGCGCCAATCTCACCTTCCCATCAAAGGAATTCATACAGGGGAGAACCCTATCAGGTGTGGAATGTTGGAAAGAGCTTCAGGAAGAGCTCCCACTCACTTCCCATCAAAGAATTCATAACAGGGGAGAAACCCTATCAGTGCGTGGAATGTGGAAAGAGCTTCACAGATAGTTCCTCTCTCATTTCCCATAAAAGAATTCATACAGGGGAGAAACCCTATCAGTGATGTGGAATGTGGAAAGAGCTTCAGGAAGAGCTCCTCTCTCATTCTCATCACAGAATTCATACAAGGGAGAAACCCTATCAGTGTGTGGAATGTGGAAAGAGCTTCAGCAACAGCTCCCATCTCATTTCCCATCAAAGAATTCATACAGGGGATAAACCCTATCAGTGTGTAGAATGTGGAAAGAGCTTCAGTCAGAGCTCCTCTCTCACTTCCCATCAAAGAATTCATACAGGGGAGAAACCCTATCAGTGTGTGGAATGTGGAAAGAGCTTCACTCAGAGCTCCCATCTCACTTCCCATCAAAGAATCCATACAATGGTCAGAAAAACCATTATACAACTTTAGAGCCAGGCAAATTTGCACCTTTTTAACCAGGCTTTTGGCTGATTGACATCTAATTCCCTTTAATATGTGATGTTTCTTTTTTATATTTTTATGTGTAACCATCCTGAGACCTGTGGGTGTAGGGAATAGGTGCCAACTCTTAAAGGCCTAGTGGTCTTTGCCCACCCCCAATAAAATAATTAAGGATGCCACTCCCCAGTTTTGGTGTGTTTTTTTCAAACACAACCTTTTATTCTTCTGCAACTTTTATTCTTTCAATTTGCCTTCTTAAGAAATAAAAAAAATGCAAAAAGGTCATGAGTAAAACAAAATACAAGAAGATACAAACATGGACAGGTCCCATCTTTGCGGGCAAAATAGAAAAGTTGCTTTGAAGCAGGCTTTCCCACACTTGGGTCCCCAGCAGCTCCTGAACTACAGTTCCCATCATCCTTTCCACTGGTCCTGCTAGCTAGGGATGATGGGAGTTGTAGTCCAAAAACAGCTGTAGACCCAAGTTTGCTTTAAAGGGAAAGTAGGCTGGCCCTGTGACACCCTCTGCTGGAGAAAGCACTGCCCCAGAATCTGAACCACCCCCGGTACAGCTATTTGGAATTAATAGAGCACAAAACTGAAGTTTGATCGGCACTTCAACCTCTAGTCAGCTTCTAGGTGCTTTCTGCACCACCTAGAGTATCCACAGAATTGTGGCTTCTACTGGCAACACACACAGGAGAACAAATGAAAGACAAACACAATGAGCAGGAAAAACCAGAAAAGGGCCATACCAAATGGACATCGGTGTGAAGAGGTCACTTTCCCCACTGCCTGAACAATGCCATAGGTCGAGGAGATGGGAATGCTAGAAGTGTTCTCCATGGCAAGGGAAGCTGCTGGAAATTGAACTACGGGCTCAAAATATTACTTTTTTAAAAAAATTGCTGCCATTATAGGCATTGCCATTCTAATGGCATGCATGCTGTGAAACACAAGAGCAGTCAAGTACAACATTCCTAGAGTGAACATGTTTACACATGGGGAGGGTGTTTGTCCAGCCAGCAGGTCAACTTCCTGTTTCCTTCTGGGCTGGGACAGACCTCCTCTGCATGTGACTAGAGGTGGGTGTGGCCTCACCTGTGCAGGTAATGACAAAAGCACAGGGCAGGGCAAGCCATCTCTCTCTCTGTGACTACATGCATCGAAGACACAACATCTACTAAGCCAGAGATGCCCTCTTGGCTTCCAGCCAAGAGAGGAAAAAGGGACTGTCTTCTTAAGAGATAGGACTCCAAGTGTATGTTACTTCATTAAGCTAAGTCTGCCTTCTGGGATCTGAGTGTGAACAGAATGTGAGTAAACTCTTTTTATATTTTTGTAGAAGACTGTGTCGTCTCTTCTATTTTATGAGGGAATAAGGGGAAATATCATAGAGGCTTTTAGCGAGCCTGAGCAAACGCAGATGCTGCAAATTGAAATAAAAGGGAATGTTACTCTGCTGATATTGTGGAAGTTGTTAACACAAGTTGGATAAGGATATACTCAGGACAATATATCCTTTCCTGCATCCCTGAACATTCCCACACGTGCATCATATGATGGATTGTGCAAGGCAGGACTGACCTGGCCCTCCACCAATATTTTATCCAAGTCAGCACCACTGGGTCATGTGGTTTCCAAATTAAAGACATAAATCTCCTTCCTTTGCACAAGTTCCAGCTTGTCAATATCCTCATTTATGCTTTTTAAAATTTATTCGCCCTTCATCTGAAGATTTTACAATATAAACATACAGGATGAAAGCATGGCTTTCTCACAAACAAATCAAGCCAGAGAAATCTTTCCTTTTCTTCTTTTCTTTTCTTGGATGGATTAAAAACTTTGTTGATCAGGGGACTGTTGTGGAAGTAGTGCATCTCGATTTCAGTAAGGCTTTTGACTGAGTCCTCCGTGATATTTATGTGAGGAAGCTGGTAAAATGAGGCTGAATGAGGTAACTGTTAGGTGGATTTGACTGACCGAACCCAAAGAGGACTCCTTCATGGTTTCCTCCTCATCCTGGGGAAAAGTGACCAGAGGGGTGCTGCAGGGTTCTGTCCTGGGCCCGTTGTTGTTCAACGTCTTTATAAATGACATGGATGAAGGAACTGAGGGGATGCTCATC